TAAAACAAGTAATTTAATTGAATTCTGCAAAACTATATTTGGAATAAATTTTTTAAATGAAAATTCATTTATTTTTATTTCTTAAAATACCGTGAACATAATAATTTAATAAAAAAACAATAAATACCAATTATATTTATTATATACAATTTTGTTATTTTTTATTATAAATACTATAATATTCCATCTTAATTAATTAATTAATCATATATATATTATATGGAAACCGGTTTTTGAAAGTAATTGTTCATAGCCATTTTTTTAGTTTCGTACTAATATCTAATTTGGAATTTCTAAAAAAAAAAAAAAAAAAAAAAAAGAATCTATAGTGAAGGGTGATTTTATCAGTATAAATTTTAATGTTTAATTTTGTAAAATTCATTTAGAAATTTCACTAGACTCTTTGTTTACGTAAAATAACTTGTAGAAAAATATTTTTCACAATTTTCCATTGTTTGGAGTATTCAGGAAAATAAATCAAAGGAAAATATTTTTCTGGTTAAAAGAAAATTAACTCATTTTTTAAGGAAAATAACCTCCCATTTTCAAGAAAATATTTTTTAACAAATTATTTTTCTGTAAGTTATTTTACAAAAACAAATGGAATATAATTTTAATAGAATTTGAGTTAGGATATCGAATTCATTTATATAGAACTCAATTTGTAGAATTCAAATCTGTATTTTTCTCTTCATTACAACCACAAAACTTTGAATTTTCAAATGAATTCTATAAAATTTTGTGAAATTCATTTGTTCCACAAGAGCTGTTATGTTCATAAAATTATTATGTCAAGAGTATTCAATAAATAAAAGCAAATATATTATCTATTTAAATAATTATATGAAATTTAATTAATCAAATATTTTAAATTAATCATTCATATATCAAACATCAAAAATTTATTTACGAATAAATTTATCTAAAATTTTATTTACAAATTACTTTCACATTTTCGATTTATTTATACAAAACCACAAGTTAAGCTCAAGTTCATAATGCTGCATGAATCCAATTCACAAAGGTATATAAGCTGTAATTGCTAACTTTTTCTTTTTAACCGAAACAAGGGGACAAATGTATTAGTCACTGCACCCGGCTCGGGTCACCGGTTAAGTGTTAACGTCTCAATTTAAGACACCCTAATAGAGTTTCAGATAGGAGTGATGCCCCTTTCTGCAGGATTATAACATTACGGTCCTCAACCTACGACAATAAAGCGCAGCCTAAGACAGGCCACAAAGTGGGTCGTATCTCCTAAGCAGTAGGTCAATATTTAGGCTCATATATAACGGAATGTTATCGATTGTCATGGAAACTTGGATCAAACAGTCGGATGATAAACGTGTTTAGATGTCACAAAACTTTGCCTTTAGTGGTTTATGTGGATTTTCCTTTTAAAGGCATCAACCTTTGTTAGCATTTATACCTGGATATAGGCAATGGTGAATTGGGCCTAACCCGATAGGCTTTATTATTATTTTTATTGTTATTATTTAGACCTTTAATTTTTTTTTTTGTCATATTTGCCTCTCAAATTTCATGAATTCTTTTTCTTCCTTTTTTTTTTAAAAAAAATTAATTTCTCCTTTCTTTTTCTTTCACAAACGGAGATATAACCACACTGTAGTAAGTAGAGATAAGGTGAAACTACCGATCATCCACGTCTACACAATTGCTGATTAAAAGCAATAGGGGTAAGTAAACGGTCGCTTGTTCAAACCAAATTGAACCAAGGCTAGAAAATGCAAACTGAACAGAATAAAAATTGATACTTGAATTGAATCGACTCGATCAGTTGGTTCAGTCAGTTTTTGCCATGTCGATTTGATTTTAAGTTTATCAGATGAATTTTTATGGAATGGACTCGGACCAAATAACAAATACAGTCCAAACCAAATAAATTGATAAATAGAATCTCTCTTAAATAGCTGACTGAACCGAAATGGGTGGAATTCGATTTTTGGTTGGTGGTTTTGCACACCCTTGAAAAAAGGTTGTTCATAGGCTTTATATGCACTAGTGAACTAGTAAGGGCTTGTTACCTTCCAAGATGGGATTGGGAGAACCACTTCAAAGACCCGAAGGCCTGGCCCATTTGTTTTTTAAATTGGACTTAAAGCCTAATATTAGTTGGGATGGAAAAAGATACACCAAAATCAGAGATGCACTCTAAGAAGATACTAATCAAACAACTCTATTCACCAATCTTGCTGGCCTTTTTTATTTTTTATTTTTTATTTTTTTATTTTTTTATTCAAGGTGTCTATAAGTAAAACTGTATCTATTTTACTTAAGCTTATATACCAAAACAAAGCCTCTTGCAATTTCAAATATGGTATTGAAAGGGTAATAATGATCCAATGCCCTCATGTTTTGCACTCCACATTGTATTCAAAGAATAATAACAATTCAATGCACTCATGCATGTAGTTTGAAATGGGATTGAAAGAAATATTTATTTAATAATTTATTTTTCATACATGCAAGGGCCGCACCACAGCTTAATAAGGAAGATCAATTAATATATTTTTATTTAAATCGTAAAAAAATAAAAATACTTATTAGGTTTCTATCCAATTGATCCCACTAAAAACTATTACAAACTTTATTGAGATTTTGTCATAAATTTCATTAAGCAACATATATAATTTAAAAACTTTATAATCTTATCTACTACTCCCTCAACTTTTTTATTTAGAGAAAATTTCCTTTTTTGATATATTTTTTATATAGAGAAAGTTATTTTAAATAGAAACTTTGGGATTTAAGTCAAGTTAAAAAGATTAAAAAGCCCTTGGAATATATGTGTTTTTTAAGATTGAAGCTCAACAATAAAAAAAAGTGGCAGACACAAATATTCTCAACATTTAATACAAACGTGTTTCAAGGGATAAGTTATCAACTCACTTTTTCATTTCATTTTATAGTAATAGTGGTCGTTTTTCTAAATTTGATTACATAAATACAAAGTTAGCCCTTATTTGTATGTCTTGAAGTGGGGATTCAAAGATGAAAATCGTACACTAAAGGAACCAGCTACTCTTCTAAGAAGGGCCGGAAGAGTGCCTTCAGTTGCAGACAATAATGTTGAGATATAATGTTGAGATTCTGAAAAAATTGGATGTAATTACTATTCTTTTGGCCATATTGGTGGAAAAGATAGATAAAAATATTGAGCAAACACAGAAAAATAGTGCACATGGGTCAGTATTCTGAGATTCCTGAAACACCTACTGGAGAAAAAAGTGACCAAAAAAGTAAAGATGCTCCCAAAGGTAGCAATCATCAATCACTTATAGACTCAGATGAGACCCAACCTCCTACACAAGAACCATGAATAAGAGGAAGTTTATTGACTCTCTAGATCTTTTTGCAAGTGATGAGATAGATGACTCAATAGGAAAAATTATGGAGGACACAGTTTCTGCTATTAATGCTGATACAGGTAAGAATGGAGACAATAAATAGGTTAATGTGGACTTTTATTGGTAGTAATCATGCAGTTTCTGATTATCCTCTGTGTTAGTTAACGGTTGTGAACTTCTATAAGCCATTTTGTGATCATATTTTTAGTACTTGTGCACTTTTTCAATGGTTTTTTTCTCTGTGTTAGTTAACGGTTGTGAACTTCTATAAGCCATTTTGTGATCATATTTTTAGTACTTGTGCACTTTTTCAATTGTTTTTTTTTTTCTCTGTGTTAGTTAACGGTTCTAAACTTCTGTAAGCCACTTTGTCGCCTTTTAATTACTAGTTATGCACTTCTGTAGGCCAGTTTGTGGACTTCTTATTCTTAGTTGTGTACTTTTTCAAATCTTTATAAAGGTTATACTCTTTTGTAAGATGACCTTATTATTATTAATTGTGCACTTTTCAAAATGTGAAGTTATCATACATTTTGCTAGAGTGTGCACTTTTTAAAAAAATTGTGCCTTCAAACTCACACTAAAACTCAAATTTTAGGGGTCAGTCATATTGTAGACAATCATAGCCATTTTTGCTTCATTATGTATAGCATTCAAGTCTGGAGAATACAAAGTAATGGTCATTTCTAGATATGGTGTGATCGATTTATATGTTATGAAGAAGTTAATATATTTTCCTCGAATTAGATCATTAACTGTGATTATATTTATATGTGGTCAACGTTTAGAAGTCGAAGAGTCTGATTGTAAATTCAAAAAATTTGGCTCCAAATTCTATTTCATTTTGGCCGCAATATATTGCATGTGGGGAGTACTTTCTAAATTTCATTTAAACTTGGAGGAACCAAATTTTGCTTTTAATTTAGAATTTGAATTGAAAAATTATTCAAAAATTTAGCCTTTAATTTGGCTCCAAAACTTTTTTGTTTTTGTGCACATATTATGTAAAACGTTTCCGTTCTACTAAAGTTAGAAGAGTTAATAAAGAAGGTTAGAAGTGACGCTCAAACGATGCAAGTAGGCAATAAATACACTTATTAGGACTGCCTTTTGTGTCAGTTATTGTTCTCATAATTAATGATGAAATGAAGGACATTTTAGGGAGAAAATCTAATTTAATTAACTTTTTTAATCCAAGAGTCTTTTTTGTTTTCTCTAAATAAAAAAAAACAGAGAGAGTAGTTAAAATATTATAAGTATATGAAGTGATTCAATATAATTTATAAATCTTCATTAATTTCTTTAAATAGTGTACATAATTTTTTAAAATTATTAACAGTTTTAAAATTATTTTATGGTATGTAATTAGTCATAATTCATTAATTAAAAAGTGTAAAATATCAATAGTACTACTTATTTACTACTGCCATAAGCTATAAGTAATTTTATTTTATTTATCTATTAAGATTAGTTCTTATTTTAAGCCAAAGTTTAGAGGAAAAGAATTTCTTATACACGGTTGTAAATTGATGAACAAATCACCCCATTAAAAAAAAATTTCTCAACTTCGCACTGCTTGTATGTCTTCATTTCTTAACTGATTTTTTTCGCTTATATTTTTGTGACTGACAATTTGAAAAAATAATAATAAAAAAATAATAATAACACAATTTCACAAACTAGAATATCCTCTCTCTCACAAAAGTTCAAATAGAATAAGGTCGATCACAAGAATAAATTTACAACACAAACAAACAAATGACTATCATGTAACTAGTAATTAATTATACACACACAAATCCAATTCTACAATTAAGAAATAGAGAACCTTCTTCTCCTAGGCTTTGTAATATCAATCCCAGCACCATCATCAAGATGAGAAGTATCCTTAGATCCATGTTTGAAAGGGTTCAACTTCCCCAAAGTCTTGGACATGGATGAAAAGAAGGTAGGTTTTCGACTTCCGCTCTTCGTTGAAGATCCTTGATTACTATTCTTTTGCATATCAGAAATGTAAAGCTTCATTTTCGTGAGCTCCGATCGCAACGCCTCGTTCTCTCTGATCAAAGACACGTCCGTCTGTAATTGATTTTTTGTATTAGAAACCGGAGTCTCTGGGGTGCTACTTTCGACTACTCCGCTTCTTAGCTTCAGCTGATCATAGTATAAGGCGTGCAAAACGATCTGTACTGGTAAACGCTTGTTTTGAGAAGCATGAAGTCTTGCTTCGTATGATAGTTTCAACGGATCCATCACACTGCACACCTTCTCTCGCTCGATCTCATCCAGGTTCGGATGGGCCTGCAATATCAAAGTATATAACAGTTAGTTACTATATGCTTCCAACTGAGTTTTGATTAAATTGATTAATATCGAGTTAATTAATTATTATTTATTATATTTTCAGAAAAAATTATTATTTATTATATTATATTTTTTTTTCCGTATAACTCCAGTATTTTTTGTGCATTTGGCTGTTAGAAAAATAATTTGATAAAAAAATGAATAAAAAACTACAATTATTTTATTTTTCAAGAGAATTTTTAATATCATCCAAATATGATAATTTAATATTTTTAAATAATTGTTCTGGAAATTTTTTTTTTTTTGGAAATTAAATGCCCTAATAGATAAATAATTGGATGACGTGTGCAGAAAATTAGAACTTTAACGGCTATAACCAATTCATTGATTAGTTAAATAAATTTGATTTACCTTTAGATAGATATCAATGGCGCGATAGAGATCATCATCAACCTTCCTTGCTCCTTTGGGAACTAGAATGGCGATTCCATTGAATTTGGAGATACCAACTTCACCATAGGTAGCTATCTCGCCAAGATAGGCGTCAATAGTTTTTGCAACTCTCTGTATCGCCGTGGAACATGTATCCTTGAAATCGCCACTGCTAAACACAGCCATGGTCTTCTCCTTCTCCACAAATCCAGATATAATCCTCCTCACACTGTCTAAATCAAACAGTCTCTCACCATCGTAAGTGAAAGACAAAACCAGAAGATCATCAACAGTCACATGCTCTAGTATTGCAGAGATCCGTTTCTCTAACTCGTTTTTGCAGGAACTTGAGGCGTTGAGGAAAATAGCCGATCGGAGAAGGCAACAGAGGAAATTGATCGGAAAAGCAGCTTTTTCAGATGGCAAAAGTGAGACTATAGATTGTAGAAGCTCCCGTTGACTGCTCCGAACATCGGAATCGTCAGAATCCAGCGACGATTTCATGCCTTTGCCGGTATGATCTCGAACTAGATCTCGTAGATTTCTCTCTGCGTAAGTTATGAGAACACTCGCTAGGGTTAGTGGTTTCGCGCCACGTTGTCTCATTGCAGTAATGATTTTCCCCACGAATTCTACATCTAAAATCGACAGCTCCTCCTTCCACCAGTTCGGCGGCGACCGGCTCGGAAAATTTGCTTCATTACAGCCCTAAAACCAAAACAAACCTCTCTTAATGCTAAAACCAAATATGATCGAAATGAATTTCATCATGAGATAAATTCTCTATGGTACCTTCACGCTGATGACATCAACGCATCGCTGGACGATTTTGAGGTCTTCAGTCAAAGGAAGAAGCTCTTCGCAGGATTTCAAGACGACAATGGCTCCAGAGAGACTAGACAAGGCGACTTGAGAGAGGAAATCGTCGGTACGGCCAGCGAGGTTATTATCGCAGTATAAATCAGTCATCTGTAGATACTCTGCCGCACAGCGAAGAGCAGCTACGTTATGAACTGTGATTTCAAAGTTGACTCCATAGCAGAATTTCGCAGCTTTTTCAAATATTTCAGGACCTCCAGGTATGTCTGATAGATCTATCCTTGTCAAGTCTGGTTCTTTAGATTCCATTATCAATTTCCTTATACGATTGCTCTTTGATACCAGCATAAACTGTTTATAACGCAATTACAACATAAACAAGTAAAGATTAAGAGTTAATTATAAATTTTTTAAAGAGTACAATCTGATCTTTATACCTTATGGAGAGAGAAGTTTGCTTCACCAACTACCACAACAACATCAGTAGGAATTTCCTGGGAAAATACCCTGAAAAAGAAAATTTCAAGCAGCAAAATTGATTATTTATAGAGAAACGAAATTAAAAATAATGGTTTGATTTCAATTTTTGGATAAGATTGATGATTTGGTTACCATTGGCCAGTCCTCTCCATGGCAATAGAGAGCCTGCTGTTGTTTCTGAGAGGAGTAGCCATTTTTTTTGGCTTGTTGAAGAAAGAGAGTTTCAAGTAAGAGTAGCTTTCTTGGTTGTATAGAGATCTTTTGTAGAATTGATTTTTCTTGTTCCTTTTAATCTGTTTATAGACTGTAGATTTCACTTTTTAAGATTGTTTTCACGGACCATTCTACCCTAATTAATGCATTAGAGGACAAAAGGAAACTGAAGTTGTGGTATTCATTTTGGCTCCACTCCACTTGCTTGCTAGCTCAAGCCTCTTAATTATCAAGTACAATTACCTTCATTTTTTAGACACTGAGGTTGAATCTTCTAATGCCTAACTAATAACAAATGATATCTAATTTTATGCTATGATTTAGGTTCTATCCCTTCCCACCTAATAGTCATAATTATTTTCTACTCATTATGGATTGTCTTCAATAGGCTTGGGCTGTGTTGAGTTCGAAATCTGCTCAGATGGAAGCAATTTCTTGTTCAACAATTTGAGACTTTTACAATTTTTTTTCCATTTTATTTACTCAGTGACTTTAGAAAATCAAGAAAATATTTATTATTTTTTTAAGTATATCTTATTATCTCCGGTAAGTCCATTAACTATTTTTAAAAAATCGGTAAAAGGTTGTTTATTCATTTTCCTAATTTTTTTTGTGTAAGTTGAAAAAATGTAAAATTTAATGAAACGGCGAAAATATTTCTTAACTTTATTATTATTCATTTCAAGCTATACTTAAAAGAAATTTAATTAATATTATGAGAAAAATAAATTAATTTCACACTAAATAGAAAGGACATTGCTTCAACTATAAAATATCAACTACTCCCTTTGTTAGATATACCATTGATATAAAAGTAGAACTCCATTTAGGTGTTTCTAAATCATTTACAAATGAATTAATCATCTGCTTTAGTTATTCTTTAATTTTTTATTAGATTCAAACTTAAAAATTTTGATAATTCTGAAAATATAATATGACTCATAACTCCAATCATATTGAGTATTAATTTTTCAAATTCTATAGCGGCAAGCCGATTGAAGTTATAGATAAAACCAAATTTCTCTGGCTGTTGCCGGTGAGAGATGACCGTTAGTAGCCATTTTTATTTTCTTGTTCTTCTATTTTCTTCTTTTCAAATATTTTCATTGGATTTTGGTCAAGGCATCATCTTCAATAAGGTATCTTGGTGGTTTGGAGGAGGTTTTTCTCCCTCCATCTTTCCTTAAGGTGCGTAGAAAATTAGTAGTTCATTTTCTTAATTCTAAAAGCTGTTTTACTCTCCATTTAGTATAAATGAATTCTATATAAAATTCATTTATACATGAACGTTTCATGTTTGGAATAAATTCATAATTGAAAATTTATTTGTTTTTATTTCTTAAAATACCATTGGAGAATAATTATAGAAGATAGGGAGGATGGATATTTTTTTTATGAAACTTTGGGTTGTTTAAGTTTGTAGAATTCACTTGGAAATTGCACTTTCTTTTTTTTTTTTGAATTTAATTTAGTTATATTCAAATCCATAAAATTGAATTCGGAGAATTTAAATCTTCATTGCATTTCTTATCAAACACAAAAATTTTGAATTTATAAAAGAATTTCATAAAATTTTAGGAATTCATTTATTCCAAATAAAGGGTAAGTGTGCCTTAAAATCCAAATACCAAATCCGATGATAATGGTGGTAAGAAGAAGTAAAGGTGGTGGCTATATTCTATCTTATGCTTTTTACTCTTTTGTTATTAGGGTTTAATTTATTAATATATTGATACGAGTGATTCAACGCTCTTTTCAAAGAATTTTGATTGATAAAATAAATACTTGTTGGCAGCGTTTATTTTTGGTGATCTTGTATGTATCCATTATTTTTAATGGATGATTTCATCTCTAAAAAAAAAAAAAAAAAAAAAAAAGCCGGTTGAAGTTTAGCTAAAATAATATAGCTGCAATGCATGGCAATTCTTGGAAAATGGCTTGGAGGACAAAGTAGGGAATTCGATGAGAGTTGGGCCAATATAAGAACACGACATTAGAGTTGGATAGAAATAAGGATAGGAAAAGTAAATAAAGAAAGCATTATTGGATATCATTACAGTAGGGCCCAACATGGTATGTCTCCGCCACTCAAACAAGCGGCCAGGATGCTTCCAGCTACTTTGTCCAAAAAGTTTTGGCCACCGGAATTCCACGTCATCCGGCGGCCCCATTCTAACCTCACCAGTCTTCCTCTCTCTTTGACCGTCTTGTCCTGGTTCGCTGTACGAAAAACAACAGGCCCCACTTTCCGATCTAATCTCCATCAAATTCATCAAATACTTGCGTAACACGTGGCACATAATCCACATCCTCATCTCGTATCTTAGAAACATATATTCATCGTTTTTATATTAATTTTTTTAACCTATAATTTTTAGATTAATGAATAAAGCGAGAGGGAACGCAAAATTATTGTGCTCTTTTTTCTTACTGAGAATAATTATTCCGACCGTACGATTAATTTGCTGGAATTTTGGCAGATCTATACACCAGAATTTATGATGTAAAGTACTTATATTTGTAAAATTTGTATCTGCATTTTAACTTAATTTAAAGTATTAATTGCTAACGTCTTTTCCTTTTGTTAGGTGTAAACTAATTTTCTTATAATATTTAGTTTCCGGCTGATTGGAAAATTTTTAGAAGGGATTATCAAAATTTATTAATATTAATGTTCCGTTTATTTCTGTAAAATAACTTGCTGAAAAATATTACCACTCGAAAAATATTTTTCAAATGACTTATTTTCCGTTATTTGGTTGTAATATTGAAAATTAGTTAAAAATATTAAAGTTTTTATCTCATAAGACTAAAATATTAAAGTTTTTTATCTACATACAGACATAAAAATAATATTAATAAAATATAGAAATTTATAATTTTTAAAAGTTTTATGTTAAATATGAAATAATGTAAAAAAAAAAATGTTAAATTATGGAAAGTTGTCGATGGCTGATTGGTACAATGCTGATCATGATAGTGACTATGATGAATAAATAAAATTTAAAAATAGATGGATTTTATAAGGTTTGTCAATGTTTTGAAAAATATTTTTAACTTCTTTTGAAAATAAAAAGTTATTTTCCTTAAAAAATACACTTAATTTTCCTTGTGACAGTAAAATATTTTCGTGACTTAATTTTTCTGAACCGCCCCAAACATAAATAAAAAGTTATTTTCCTTAAAAAATAACTTAATTTTCCTTTGACCAGTAAAATATTTTCCGTTGACTTATTTTTCTGAACGCCCCAAACAAGGAAAATTTCAGGAAAATATTTTCCTGCAAGTTATTTTACTGAAATAAACGGAGCTTAAAATTGATAAAATTATCCTTTTATTCCAATTATATAAAAATAATTTACTTTGATTTCTTTTTCTTTTACACTTTTGCTCCACAAATGCTTTAATGCTTTACATTTTTTTTTCTCTAACATTATTATTATAATTATTTGAAATTAATAATACCCATACACTAGGTGTACGAGTGGTTTTGGATATACATTATATTATAAGCCCAAAAATTTACGTTAAGCTTATTTTTGTTTTGGGCTTGTGCTTGATTCATATGTAATTAAAAGAACTTAGCCTAATCGAGCACCAACCGCCGGCCTGATAATTTTTTACCAAATGCTAATAGAAATTATCACATCAGCATGGCCAAACTTAAAAAATAACAAAGAGACTCTGACTTGATCCAAAAGAGATTAATGTATTCAATCCTTAACTAATACAAATTTAATGTATTTATTAATTACTATGACCAATAAGTGTAAATAAACTTTTATCAAGTCAAACGTTTGAATAAACCGACTTGCAACTTTTTAAGATTGAATTAGCTAATAAAGGATTATATAATTATTAATTAAATCAATCTCAAATTTCATTGTGTTATTAAAAATAAAGGGTAATCGAACTTATATCTTTTAAACAAGCTACCAGCCATTGCCATCACCTTTTATTTTTCTTAAATCCAATCTATTGGATTTTTGAACAAGAAAACTTTAGAGTTTCCCTTTTCCACATGAAAGGAAGTATCTTGGAGTCAACTTCAATGGCATTAACATACAAATCAAATTATTCTTATCAATAAAATCAATTAAGAATATACACTTTTATCCTAATATAGAGGTGCCCTTTAAAGAAAGCTTCCATGAAAAAGAAAAAACATAGGCAAAGTGGGAATTGGAAGACGAGCCACATGGATTAGAAATGATGTAGATATGTTATTATTTTTGGCTTTTGCTTTTTGTGGGCAAAGTCTGTGAATGACATAAAACTTGCAAGTTGCATACTTGTGATGGAGACCTAAGCTTTTGGTCCCCTTCTAGACATGCTCTAAATATGCAACTTGTGGACTTAATTTAAGCTTACGTTTCATTCCTTGGAATGCAAAACCAACTTCATAGTTTGCCGAGAGATAGAGACAACTCATTGCAATTCCAAGCAATAAATATATATATCTAGCTTAATGGTTTATGGGCTTGCTTGGAAAAGTTTGGGTTGGGCTTTTGACCCCCACACATAAGCCCATGTTGTTCATTTTACAATGGAAAAGAGGGGAAAAGGCCCAATCTTGAACAGAATTATATTCTTTCGTCTTTATTGGCTCTTCTTCCTTGCATTATTTCATGAAGAGGAGAGAGAGAGAGAGAGAGAGAGAGAGAGATGTAGGCATGCAAAGAAGAGGAAGTTGATTGGAAAAAGTATTAGATTAGGAAATCGGGATTTGAAATTAAGGAGTTCAAACTTATAGCTACTTAAAATTAAAGGGAATCCATGAAAAACGGCTCAAACGATAATAGACATTTGAGTTGAACGAATAATCTCTACAAAATAAAGGTTCGATCCATAAAATAAACATTCATGAAAAATAATAATCATGAACTTCGATATAAGAAAAATTTCATACCAAAAGAGTAAGATATGTTCGTACCGAAATCGGAAAACGGAGTAAATGGTTAAAAGTGAACGGAAAAAAAGCTCAGGTTATAGGCTGGAAGTGGTTTTATAACTGTTCACACAAATCACGAATCTACCATAATGAAAAAGAAAGAAAGAAAATAAATACTCACACCGACTAAAATTGACAATTTTTATTATTCAGAATAAAGTAGTATAACTTTTTTCACATATTTGCTTATAAACATCTATTTGTTTTTC